TGTCACTTACGAGCACAAGTAGTGATAGTGAACAGGTAAGATCTAATCTGTTTCAAATAAGTATCATTATTATTGTAAAGTAGTATAATTGTAAAAATGTAAAAGAGCGAAAAATAAATTATATGACACCTTTCTCGTTAATGTAATGAGTAGTTGTGGCTTCAGGTTAGTCTCGAAGATTTTTTGGAGTCTTGCAGTGGAGTTGCAGGCTCTAGCGCTGGTGGCGGTAGAACTACTGGAGGTCCTACGCTTCTTACCGAATTAGAAGATGATGAAGATGGTGTATTAGAAGAAGAGGAAGATAACGATGAAAATGATCAAGAAGTAAGTGAGAGAATTTCTAATGACATTTACTACGAACATGTCATTGATTTATATAGATCTTATGTTTAATTGTAAATTGTTTAATATAGGAAGATGATGAAGAAAATGAAGAAGAAGGTGATGGTTGTGAAGGAGAGTATGAGGAAGTTATGGTCAGTCGTAATTTATTAGCAGCGTTCATGGAAGAAGAAGCACCACAAAGCAGTAAGAGGCGAGCATGGGATGATGAATTCGTTCTAAAACGTCAATTTTCTGCTCTTATTCCTGCTTTTGACCCAAGACCCGGTAGAACTAATATAAATCAAGTAAGTTATCTCTTTTTATTCTTTTAAATACTTAATAAGACACATTACCCAATATTATAAGATGATGTTATAAATAGACAACAGATTTGGAAGTTCCACCACCTGGTAGTGAAACACAAATAAATACGCGAGTCGGATCGTTGCCAATGCCAAGACTCTCATTAACATTAAAAGGTCCAGGACTTCCAGGAATACCAGACGTAGAATTGCCACTGTTAGAACCACACGCTAGTATCTTCCAAGCAGTTCAAGAATTGATGCAGTTAACAGAATTAGGCAGTCGTCAAGAAAAATTAAGAAGAATATGGGAACCAACATACACGTAAGATGAATATTTATTTTTAAAACATTTCATTGACTCAAGGAAGTATAGATTTTATAAAAAAAGTATCTACCCAGCAGCTTTATAAAGTCTGTGCCTATAATAACTTATGAAGATTATTAGGTAATTTTTCTTAATCTTTTTTTATCGAGAATTTAATAATATTTTTATTTACAGTATAATATATAAAGAAGCCAGAGAAGAAGAATCATCTGGTAGAGCGACCCCAATTGTAACGCTGTATTCTCGTAATTCTACACAAAATACAAACGCATGTACTGTAGAAGATGTTTTGCAATTGTTAAGACACGTGTTTGTTTTGAGTACTACTCGTGATGATGTTAGAAGCAATGTATCAGACATTGTAGAATCAGAAGATGCAATGTGTTGGGTACATCCAGATGATTTTACCTCAAAAAAGATAACAAACAAAGTAGTACAACAAATTCAGGACCCATTGGCTTTAGCTGCTGGTGCATTACCAAATTGGTGTGAAGAATTAGCAAGAAGCTGTCCATTTTTATTACCTTTTGAGACTAGGCGATTATACTTTAGTTGCACTGCATTTGGTGCGTCTCGATCTATTGTTTGGTTACAAACACAAAGAGATGCTGTTCTTGAAAGGCAGAGAGCACCTGGGTTAAGTCCACGACGCGATGATAGTCACGAATTTCGTGTGGGCAGACTTAAGCATGAAAGAGTTAGTGTACCAAGGGGAGAGAAACTATTAGACTGGGCTGAACAAGTATTAAAGGTACAATATCTTATATGCCTTATACTAGTATATTAAAACTGTAGCAATTATTATGTTAATATAATTCCTTAACAATATATTTCTAATATTTAATCTAGGTACATGCAAGCCGCAAGAGCATATTAGAGGTCGAGTTTGTAGGCGAGGAAGGTACTGGCTTGGGACCAACCTTGGAATTTTTTGCATTAGTAGCAGCAGAATTACAGCGTAAAGATTTAGGCCTTTGGTTATGTGACGATGAGAAATCGAATGATAATCAGCAAACATGTGTTTCTGGAGAACAGGTGCGTCCAGCTGGATATTATGTTGTACGCCCTAGTGGGTTGTTTCCTGCTCCTCTACCTCAGGATTCTGCAGCTTGTGATCGTGCTGTCAGATATTTTTGGTTCCTTGGTGTATTTTTGGCAAAAGTTCTCCAAGATAATAGATTAGTTGATCTACCGTTATCTCGTCCCTTTTTAAAGTTAATGTGCCGTGGTGATATTACAAATAATGTAAATGAAAAAATTGGTTTAACTGGTGTAACACAAGAGAGTATGTCATCTAGTATGTCAAGTAGTTTCATCTCAGAGGAAGGTGAGACTGATGCAGCTTGTTCGGCATTAGAACCTTCTCCATGGTATAGTGGTCTTCTGGATATCGAAGATCTCGTTATTGTCGATCCAGTGAGAGGTGAATTCATAAAAGAAATATTAAATAGAATAGCTAAGCGTGATAGGACACTTTCCGATGGACGCAGTTCTGCTGACGAAGAAACATCACTATGTATCACTCATCCATCTGGAACGTCAGTAGCTATCGAGGATTTAGCTTTGAGTATGACATATTCTCCAAGTTCGATAGTTTTTCAACATGATGAAGTGGAATTAATAGAAGGAGGATCGGAGATTCCTATAACTGTTGAGAATGCTAAGGAATATGCTGATTTAACAAGCACTTATTGTTTGGACAGAGGCATTTGTAGGCAGCTTGAAGCATTTAAATCTGGCTTCTCTAAAGTTTTTCCCATGGAAAAATTACATGCCTTCAGTCCAGAAGAAGTGAGAGCTATGCTGTGCGGTGAACAAAATCCACAATGGACTAAAGAAGATTTGCTTAATTATACAGAACCAAAACTTGGTTATACAAGAGAAAGGTAAATAGTTATATCTTATTTATAATTCTTAATATTCTTTATTTTCCGAAATCTATTAATAACATAAGAAATGACATACGATATTAATATAATTTTCCCTTTATAGTCCTGGTTTTCAACGATTTGTCAATGTACTAGTATCACTAACTGGTCCAGAGAGAAAAGCTTTCCTACAATTTGCTACAGGATGCTCAGCATTACCACCAGGAGGTTTATGTAATTTACATCCTAGATTGACAGTTGTGCGGAAAGTAGATGCTGGGTCTGGTGGTTATCCTTCCGTTAATACTTGCGTACATTATTTAAAATTGCCAGAATATCCTACAGAAGAAATTTTAAAAGAACGATTATTGGCTGCTACCAGAGAAAGAGGATTCCACTTGAATTAAATATTTTTACTCAAGCAAGGAATTGTTTTATAGCAAAAAGAAATATTTGATCGCTAACTGCACGATTTGAACTTATTTGGCTAATTCAAATGTGCAATTTAGATATGAAAACTCAATACGGCCTTTAAGTGTTATTTGACAATTACGTCAAACCGTGTCCAATGAAAAATAATACAGTTGTAAGTGATAATGATGTACGTAGCCTGGAACGGAAGCATTGTGTTTTCATTATACACTTTCTATATACATATACATATATGTATATGTATATCAAAAGGATTCTTATTTATTAGAATATATACAAAAAAAAAAAATTAAGAATCATAGAATTAAATGATGCTTAGCAGTATAAGATACTGTTAAATTCATTCATACAAGGAGTTATGCACGTAACTATATAAATAAAATATTTAATTAAATCTTATATTTAATGTACACTGAGAGAAAATAGTGAGTGAAATTAACTCTTTCTAATGATTTATCGCTTATATTATATGCTCACTAGTCATTGGTAATGTACGCGATCGTGTAATAAAGAGAGTATATTGCATCTCTAATTTTCATCAATCTTATTTAGTAACATCAAGTATTTTTTATTTGGGTCATTGATTATAGTACCATAATTTTCAATAATAAGATTTTATCGAAATAATTATATTTTACACGATGTCTACCCAATTAAATAGACGAGAGAGAGAATCATTATATAAGATTAAGTTCTATTTATAACATTAAAGGATCTGTTAATTTATTATATTATAATCATTACAAAAGGAGCAACAAATTTATATTTTACACATAAACAATAGTTTATTACAGTCTGTTCCAGGTATTTCACGTACAGCATATTGCAAGCTTTGTCCAACATGAGAGAATGTATTTTCCCATAAAAACGTAATATTTGCGAGTGTTTTCAAGTGTATTTACTGTCTTTATGGAACAAGAACTTTATAGTTCCTCAAATTTAGAACAAATGTTCGTACGTTTTATGTGAAATATTGTTGTGCTTGGAAAATGATTCAAATAAGATGCAATTTCAATGAAAATTCATATTTTCTTTATAAAAATATTTTAGCCATAATAATGCATTGTGCTATTAGCATCACTTTTAAGTGATGCTAATCAAAATTGTTTGCAAAAATGCTAATTTATTATTATCACTATGAAAGTGATGTTTTTCAGCATCCAGACCAATTACTACAGCTTTTAAACATCTGTCCTTCTAATAAAGTGTCTTTATGCGGTTGTTATATCTTTAAAATTTAAATATCTTCAGAAATGACATTTTCAGAACAAAGCGAACCAAGTATATAATTTGATTTTAATGCGAGCGTATAGTAATTTTGTAAAACCAAGCACTCTGCATCTTTGTACAATATGCTACTTAATGCTCACAAAATAATTCTATTTGTAGGCAAAAATCAGTATGATTATAATAATAGTGCTTAGGAAAAAAGATATAAAAATAATATAATTGTCAGAAAAGGTGAGTGAAAATATGGACATGAAAAATAGTTACTATTACTGTAATATAAATTATTATTGAATCTTGGGGAGAAGAATAAAAGAAAAAAAAACGTTATAAAGTATATGTGTTGTTTAACATTTATATTTTCATTGGTTCTATTATTAATTATGGGCAAATAAGACAAAGTGATAACTTAATGATTTTATGGGTTTTCACTTATATATATTATGATTTTTTAAATGTGAAATACTATTACTAAAACTTTCGAATATTTTAAATATAATTGTATAGTAAAATTTTCAGTTATATTTTTTAATATCCTAATTTTATTATTTCTAATTAATTCTGATGATTTGTATTACATAGAAAAAGTTTATTTATAAATGTAAAGTAACATTTCAAATTAATATCAAGTCGAATTTGAACTATTATTCAAATTTACTACTGATATTTATAATATTGATTCCCGCAATAGTAAGTTACTATTCTTAAAGAGACATGATTATTCCCATATCTCCTTAAATATGATCTATATACAACAGATTAGATATTTTTTATAACTTGGCTGGTACAGATAGTTCTTTTTCCAAAATAGAATCTTTTCCAGATTCTAGTCAATTTTGAAGGACGTGATCTGCTTCTTTACGCTCCTCCTCTAATTCCTGAGCTGTGATGTTTAGTTTACGTTGAGCAAACTCGCTAATTGAAAGTCCCTGCAAAATGATAAATCATTTTTATTTCAATTAAAAGGTGCAATTATTTATAAAAAGTAATATGTAGAATGTATTTAATATAATGGAATATTACAATTATAATAATTAAGAATTCTACAAGTAATACGTACTTGAACAATCTTGTATTGTTTATTTTCTATGGTAACAGGAAAAGAGAATACAATGTCCTTTGCTATACCATAGCTTCCATCTGACATAACACCCATGCTCACCCAGTGACCTGGTTTGGTTCCCACCCACCAATCTCTCATATGATCTGCCGCAGCTTTAGCTGCTGACATGGCAGAAGACATTTTTCTGGCTGCAATCACAGCAGCTCCGCGTTTTTGAATCATTTCTACAAAAGTATTATCTAACCAATCATTATCATTTATTACAGATGGTACACTTTTAGAAGAATTGTCAATGGTCACAGTAGCATGCGTTGCATCAGGATATTGAGTTGAACTGTGATTGCCCCAAATAATAACATTTTTTACTTTATCAACCTATAGATAAAAAAATCAAAAGTATTGAAATGTACTTATTGCAAATTAACACTTTAACGGCCGGATTCGCGTATTCGTGAGTTCACTGAGCTAGTGATTATTGACCGACTTCATGTATGCATGAATTCATTAGTTAATGTTTATTATCTAGCATTAATTATTGACAAAATCTGTAATCAAAATTATTGTAAAAATTATTAAACAAAATTAACAAATTGAATCTGGAAATGCGTCAGCGTAAAATTGTCTAAATCACAGAAAAAGGGAAATTAGACAATCCATGAAGAACATGTAAAATATACATTGCCAGAAAAAGAAGCTTAACTGTATTTGTGTTCCGGTGGCAAGAGCAAACCTTTTTGTTAAAAGCGCTGCCATTAAAGTGTTAAGAAAGTAATATCTCTTTTAAGAATTCTAGTTTACCTGAACACCTAGTCGATTTGCCAAAGCAGCTTGAGCTCGATTTTGATCTAATCTTGTCATTGCTGAGAAATTTTCTTTTGGAATAGATGGTGCATAATGTGCGCATATAAGAGCATTTGTATTAGCCGGATTTCCAACAACCAAGACTTTTACATCTCGTCTTGCATATTTATTTAGTGCTTCCCCTTGTACCTTGAAAATCGCAACATTGGCAGCTAAAAGATCTTTGCGTTCCATTCCTTCTTTTCGTGGCATAGAGCCAACTAAGAAGGCAGCTGCTACATCATTAAAAGCTACAACTGGATCGGTTGTTGGTATAATTTCTGTAAACCAAATTTTTCGTAGCATTGTATTTTCTCTTCTTAACTTCTTTGCATTTTTTGTGATTTTCAAGAAGGAAATTACTTTCTATAGTACAGTTAAATTCGCATACATCTTTTCTCTCACATATTTCATTTGTATAGTAACAACACATAATTATTATTAATATACTGAGGTATTACATAACATTTTTGTTACGTAACGTGTCATCTTTATCAATGAAATATCTAGCTCTAATATGAATATATAGAAGTTATATACTTCAGTACAAAAAATATATAATAATTAAAATGATATTTCAGTTCATTTACCTCTAAGAAGAGGAAGTGCTAAATCCTCGAGTTCCATAATTACTCCATCTAAAACTTTCATCATGGGTGGTATATCTAATAATTTAAGTTTAATTGGTTGTTGTGGACCAAAAACTGATCCCGATGCAATGTGATACAGTAAAGAATAAGCGATTTGGCCAGCAGCCCCAGTTACAACAACATTTATCGGTTCCATCTAAAATCATGAAAAACAATTTATTGTTTTAATAAAAAAAAGTTAACTTTTTGGAAATAAATATTTATCATAAAAATACAGCTGTTAAGAAAGCAAGCGCATGAATTTATAATATAAATAAAATTATATATATATAATATTATTCATAAAGTAAATATACTACATTTAGTCAATTGCAGAATATTTGCACAATGAAAAAATTTATTAAGTAAATGATAAAATATTATTTAGGTCAACAACTTGGTTATAAAAAGGACAAAATATGAAGTATTAATGATCTTGTAAAGAGCGAAGGTCAAATGTAGGTTATATTAATAGAATGATAATTTCATTACAACTCTTAAAGTCATCAGCTGTATCAAATAAAATATTTATAATATTTCTGAAATAATAATTACAATCAAAATATAAAACGTTTACCTTATTTAATCTTCGATAAATAAAATTGATAATTCAATAATGTAACAAAGTTCGGTGAAAATACTATCAAATATGCGATCAAGCAATGACGTTTAATGATTCCATTGATGCACTCACTGGACAGCAGATCTAATAAGAACACTGGAAACCAATAATTCCTATTCAACCAATAAGAACGTAGATCTGTCACGTGTTATTTTCAATAGTACAATTTGATATTACGTATGAAATAAGTATACCTAATATGTTTTGTTAAAAGTTAGGAAAAAATCTACTTAAAAATAAACTATTATGATTAGAGTTCTGTTTATGTAGATGCATTATACTTTATTTCAATTTATGATTGGTAGCAAATTAAATTCTTATCTTTATCAAAGTCAAGCTAGTGTCTATTTTGTTTCTAATATTTTATAGTAGATAAGTATTAAATTACAGTATTTGGTGGAATATTTATAAATTCAGCTATAACAAATTTTCATATGTGTGAATGTTCAATATAATATTTGTTCGAAATAAAAGATTTTAAGAAATTATATAACTTTTTATAAAATTATAATGTTTAATTGTGTTATTATAATATAACTATAATTATAATATTTTAATTATTCGAACGTTTTTTTTTATAAAGTTGCTATTACCAGGTATTTTATTTGGAATTCACGGATTGGTCGAATACTTTAACATTAGCCAATCATAGGAAACGTCAGTGTATTAAGATAGTGCTACGCAAGAAAGTTGACCGTATATATATATATATGTATAACCTAACTACAGTGATTACTTTACTGTAATTTTGATAGATAATGCGAATTCTAAGATTAAATTGACAATATTTTATCATAACGTTTTTTCAGTGTATTTATGTTAATATTCTTATAGTTTTATTTGTCTAAGTGATTACGAGCTGCAATACTCATTTTTTTTGTGAGATAACATATATTTATAATTTAGTACTAATACGCTTCACGCAATATGAAGTTAAGTACGGATTTGTATGATAACTTATATCTGTAAGTATTTCAATTTTAATGTGAGTTGTTAAACTTATTAAATTTATGAAGGAAATATCTAGTTTTTTAGTTTTTAATCTCCACTTTTAGAATTTTTTTAAATTTTAGTGTAGAAGCTCTTCATTGATGTTTAACTTTCTATATTTAAAATTAATTTTCTTAATAATGAGCTTAATATCATTAAACAAAAAAATTTTGTATGGCTGTTGAACAATAAATGATATGACAATGTATGTAACTTCAACAATTTTCTTTACTTTTTGTTTTAGGAAGTTAATCAATTTGACAAATAAATGACTCTTGTGCACAGAATATCTGACTTATATTTCATTTTTTTCAGATATGCTACACCAGAGAAATTTTATGTCGAACCAGTGGGTACTAAAGTATTACTCGTAGTTGATAGAGTAAGTCAACAAGTTTATACTCAAGGTAAGTTAGATTTTACATATTTTATTATTTACAATCATGTTGCTAGATAAATTTTTTCCATTTCTAGTTGGTACTGCCAGTTTAATACCATCTACTGCGAGTCGTAGAAAGATATGGGGAATAGTAGGAAATATTCGCCTTTTAGCGTGTCGTTATCTTATAGTAATTACAGATGCGCTAATGATTGGAACAATAGCTGGTCAACAAATTTATAGAATTGTTTCCACAGATGTGATACCATATTCGAGATCATCTTTACATTTGAGTGAAAAACAAGTACAGAATAATGCTACATATTTAGAGATGGTTAAGTCCGTTCTAAATACACCTTACTTTTACTTTAGTTATACATACGACCTTAGTCATACTACACAAAGGCTACATAACACCACACCCGAATTTTTACAAGTTAGTATTATATGGATATTCTAACAGTTTGTCTGTATATATTTAGCATTTGTATTAATAAGTCCATGATTTTATTTAGATGACACTTCATGATAGGGCAGATCCTCGATTTGTATGGAACTCTTACCTTTTACAAGATTTAACGGCAAGGGTTGAGCTATACAAATTTTGCTTGCCTATTATACATGGATGTATCCTTTTTAAGAAAGTTATATTTTTCAAATGTAGCAGTAATTTGTTTACATTTGTTTCATTGTTTACGATTAGTATAAAAAATTAGTTTAATCAATATATTCCTTGACATTCAATATCTATAGTTGTATCTCTGAACACTGTTGTTGTCAATAATATTGCATTCAATTGGGGTATTGTTTCAAGGCGTAGTATTCATCGCGCAGGTACAAGACTTTTTTCACGTGGTATAGATTCTACTGGAAATGTTTCTAATTATGTAGAAACAGAACAGTTAATTGAGTTAAATGGGTATCGTAGTTCTTTTGTACAAACGCGAGGTTCCATACCTTTATTTTGGTATCAAGCTCCAAATTTGAAATATAAACCTAAGCCACAGTTAAGTGTTCATGAAGATCATCAAACTGCATGTGCGAGACATTTTGATTCTCAGATTTTCCATTATGGAAAACAAATTTTGGTAAACTTGGTAAGTTATGAGATTTTAAATTTATGTATATAATTTTTGTCTAAAGAAATGTATATTATTTTCTAGATTAACCAACATGGGCTAGAAGCTACATTAGAAAAATCATATCGCGATGTAGTTCAAAGAATTAATAATCAAAATGTACGGTATGAAGCTTTCGATTTTCACGCAGAATGTAGAAGATTAAGATGGGATAGATTAAATATTTTGATGGACCGATTAGCTCATGATCAGGAGCAAATGGGCTATTTCCTTCTCACGAGAGATGGACTATTACTTTCTGCGCAAGATGGTGTTTTCCGTACAAATTGTATCGACTGTCTTGATCGCACTAACGTTGTTCAAAGTATGTTAGCAAAAAGAGTTTTAAATGAAATATTAGCAAAGCTGGAAGTACTTCGAAAAATCGAAGATCATCCTTCTTTTGAGAACCTTTTCAAACAGGTATCTATATGATATGAAATAATAAATACATTAGAAAGAGAAAAAACTTCATTTATTATTTTAGGTATGGGCTGATAATGCAGACGTTATAAGCATACAATATTCTGGTACTGGTGCATTAAAAACTGATTTTACACGAACTGGAAAACGTACAAAATTGGGTGCTTTTAGAGATGGTATCAATTCATTAACAAGATACTATAAAAATAATTTTTCTGATGGTTATCGACAGGTACGTAATTTACTTTAAAAAATAAATGGTTCAATATTAATTTATATATTTTTACAGGATTCATTGGAACTCTTCTTAGGTCGCTATATTGTGCAAGATGGCGAATGTACTTTGATTCAGTGTCCTTTAGAATCTGATCGAAATTGGCGATATGCTACATTCCCACTTGTTTTGCTGATTGCATCATCGATGCTTGTTGCACATATAATTCTCCCCTCTCGATATACTACAGAAGCTTTACTTTATATGCTATTTTGGGGTGCTATGGTTGCTGGAACTTTTGCAACCATTATTCATCATGGAAAGCAATATGTAGATAAACCTAAATTAATATAGAAGGAATATGCAATTCCTTTTTAAGGCATATGCACTATAAAAACTTTATAATTAACAAGGAAAGATGATTTAAATCAAGGAAAGCTTTAACTTCATACACATTTTATTGTTAGTCCGTTAAGTAGAAGTACTTTATTGTATGGAAGTTAAAGGAGCATCTGTATATTCTTGCATTCCATATGATTTTTCCTCGTGAATTGTAAAACATTATAGTGCATATTTTCATACATTTTAAGATGTACATATATTCTCTATGAGGTGGACAAGTGTATGGTGGAATCGCTTTTCATTCTTCTTGAGAGGTTGTTTCAGGTGTAGGTTTTTTGACAATTTGCAATTTCTTAAGTATTGTGAATACTATATTATGTTTCAAAGATAATTGTTCATTGGGATTGGCTTTACATCTTGAAATAAACTCATCCATCGTATTATACAAAGTTAAGTCCTTAGTTTCTGGTAATACCTGTGTTAGTAAGGCACTTACAAATACTGTGAATCCACAAATTGAATTTGGCACCCACCATCCATAAATAACCTGTAATTGTAATAAAATTATATTTAACATCTTTATTTCTCCAATCGTCCAAATCTTTTGGATTTTAGTGTGTTATAAATGGTATTGTATCTTACGATAAAAATATTTACTTAGTAGAAAGAAATACAATAATCATAAAAAGAGCATTTGCACTATAAAGTAGAGATATATTCCTTTTTTTAAAAATTAATATCATATGTTGTGCAATTACACGATTACGTGGATTATAATTTTTACGTCAGAATATATTTCCGCATTTATAATATATAACATTTTTAGGTAGATTAACTAAAGCAATTGATATATAATAGCACAATGCAATAAGGATTATCAATGAATTTTGGAAAGTCCAGATAAGCTTTTTCAGGGATTGTATAATTTTACATCCTATTTACTATTCTGCACGAAATAGTATTTGGAGATCGTAGTACTGGTATCAATTACTAGAACTTATGATTAGGTTGAAAAATAAATTATGAAAATTTATTTAACTGATTTTCGATATTTTAACAGATTACGAGGAGCAAATAAGCTAAGTATGTATATATAATAATAAATACATTTGTATGTACGTGTGCGTACGTACATAGTAATCATGAATATGAGCTTGTTTTGCATATATACATACAAAATTTAATTTATCAACTGCCACGATAAACAACGTTACGCAAAATATTTCAGCAGCCAAATTATTTATAGTCATATACTTGAAACCAAAGTACCTCCTAACTATTTTATATTTGTATCTATTCTAAATCATATAAATGAAGTTAAAAAAAAGCTTTGCAGGGAAAAATATTTTTTAATATATTAATAATACTTTTGCTGTAATAAAATTCAATAAGTAGTAGTATACTTTAGTATTAGTATTAACAAAAAAAAAATAAATGAAAAAAACACCCGTAACAATCTAAATACAAACGATGTAGATATTTAATTGTGTTAATAAAAACTTAACAGCGCGTTTTCCTGTTTTTCTTTTCAAGTTTTAAAAATCCATTATATTTTGAAAAAAATCTTTTTCATTAACTTACAAAATAATCCACAAGGTACGGTGCAATTGTACTGCCAATGTGTGCCCATGTAGAACTGGTACCAATTGCTATGTTTCTCATAACAGTTGGAAAAAGTTCACTACAGTGTATTATCACAGCAACGTACACGCTACTAACGCAGAGTTTACCAAAAAGAGCCGTGAACATTGTAATCATTTTCAAGTGACTTGGTACAATGAGAAGAATTGTAAATGCTCCAGATGCACATAGAAGTAAAGAGAATGATGTACCTCGCCTACCAATCATATTTAATAGAGGTATGACTATGATATAACTGAGTCCTTCGGCAATACCTAAAAACACAAGTATAAGCTGTGAGCGAAAGTGCAAATTTTAAAAAAAAGAGTATTAATTTACCAGAAAGTCCGGTGTAAAGATAGCTGTCTATCTTTAAAAGGCTAGCGGTAATCAATAATGCGTAATAACTCATAGACGTAGAAAACCAAATGGTCCAATTGAGAATTAATCTAAGACTCATCTCTTTGTTTTTTAAGTATCCTAGATTTTTCTTCAATTCTTGAATACGAGTCAATTTTTTTTCTTTCCTTATCGTGACACTCATTCTCCGTTCAGCACTGATGAGACGAAAGATGAGAAAAGACACAGTTGAGGAAATTGAATAGAACGCGTTTTAACGACCAATTCGTTTAGTTCGAAAACATACATCATTTGCTTTTGTTCGGGTGATACAAAATCTTTTACCATCATCCAAGCACGCGCTTTATGTTTTGAATAATAAAGCCATCTTGGACTCTCCGGTATAGCTAACATGTGCAAAATCAGAATAAACGCCGGCAGAGAAATATAAATTTGTAATATTCTCCATTCTCTGATAAAATATGCAATTATTGCGATCAGAATCATTCCGAATGCATAACTTTGATTAAACATCACTCCTAAAGTGGAGCGCAGATGCGGTGGACATATTTCTATCACTTCAACATAAAGATACACATTTTATTGATCATTGATTATTGATTTTTGATAACGAGATATAATATATAACTATGTACACATATAATACACCTGGGACTTTTTTTACACGGTATTTTTTTTGCACGATTTATTTTTAAACGATTTTTTAACGCTTTTTATTCATATTCCCATGGTTTTCTTAATGCTTTATTTTTGTTTGACACGATATTCTCACATATTTTGTTAAATATTTCGAATGATGAAAGTGATTTTTTTTCAACTAATAAGAAAACGTATTCGTTTCCGTATATTAGAGAGTGATGAATAGAATGTCAATTTAAAAAAGATACTTTTTTGATTTTTTTAATATACTTTATCTTTTCTTTTATATGTTTATTAAATAAAATGTTGTTATTGAATGCAGTTATATATTTTGAATTATTTTTTTTATTGTTTGCTTTAGTTTAATATAAATTTTATACTTATTATTAGTAATAAATTAATAATTTCACGAAATTTTTTACAATTTTTTTACACGGTATGCTTTCATCGTGTAAAAAGAGTCTCATATGTATATCCCCTGAATTTGTATTTTATGTGATCTATCGAAAATATTATGATTTCAAATTTCAATTATATATATATAAATCAACAGTACAATAACATATCTTGATATTATATATAGTATATATTATATTATATATGTATATTATATTTAATAATTTGTGTGAACTTACGTATCGAATAAGCTGCTTGATAGATACCGATTCCAGCTACTCCGAGACCAACTCTGCAGATCAGCATGATGATATATTTATGTGTAAAAGCAATAATTGGTCCACTAATCATGTAAATCACACAGGAAATGAGGTAGGTTATTTTCCTTCCATATCTATCAGCTAACACTCCAAAAACGAAGGCACCGACGAATTTGCCAATGGAAACTGCAGTTTGAACCGTAGCTTTCATTACTAAACGATCGCATACAATATCCCACTGTAAGAAATGATTTGTGTGGCTTGTGAATTATAATAATAATTCATAAGAATTTATAATAGACGAAATAATATGATCATTATCTTTAATCTTATCATTTTTATATCGCACCTCTGGTACAAAAGATGAGTCCTTATATTCTATTTCATAAGAAAATTCTTTGCAAGGGATGGTTTCAGGCTTTTTATCGGTCTCCACTTTCTTCAATGCTGAATCATAGCCCATATTTGCTAGTTCTTCGTAATTCCAATCGTAATATTCGCAGTTGGATAATTCGTCTGGACTAAAAAGAAAGAAAGATTAACTTCGACCGATTTAACGCGACAATTCAAGCTGTACATTTTTTTTCTGTATTATTCGATATACAGGTGTATATATATATATATATATATATTACATATATACTCTTATTCCATCATTCATACACGCGTGATAATTTATTTACGCCTATGGTGGAGCGAATATAGAATTATGCCCAGATGTATCTTGTGTTTTACATCGTTGATCGTTCGTTTGTGGTACGACGTATCATTTATCACCCTATGAATGCCGCAAAATTTCGTATAACGACGGTAAGAATAAAAGAGGGCTGGGCAGGGCATTGTGATCGATACCACTACGTTCCCATCATGATGCAATTTGTCAAGTTTAATGAATACGTCGTTCCTCGAGTTGCTTTGTCCATCCCTCTCTTCTCTCCTCTTCCTAAATTCTCTCTCTCTCTCTCTCTCTTTCTCGATTGTGAATCAGTACGAGAACATATATCTAATTCGATCCTATTGGCATTAGTTCGGATTATCAACCACCTGAGACTAGATACAGTTCGTATTTGCTCGGACGTCCAATTCGCTTTCTCCAATGTTGGAATCGAGCACCAGTGCTTCGGTGAAACGCTGTAGAAGACGTAGGACATCACGTGGAAACCATTTAGTATACACGATGTGAAACACAGCATAAATAGCCAAGTGATAAACCATGTCCTTTTACTGTATGTGGCAAGAGCTACTTCGAAGTCGTCCTTAGTCAAAATGGCGTCTATCAGTAGTGGATTCATTTTTTCTGTCAACGTTTTTTTAAAATTAGGACACGTAATATCTTTAACGTAACATTTACGTAAATAATAATATTTAACTTACCGTTTTTAGATATATCCGGAACCAATATTTGTTCTTCCTAAGGATGTTTGATCATGAACTGATTTTGTTGCTTATTCAACTTTTACTAAGTACGTTTCGCAATATCTCTCTCAATTATTCTGTTTATAATTGTAATCTTTTAAATAATATAAATATTTATTATTTATCTTATTAATTTTTTTATTAATTTATGCTAAAATCTAAGACCCATGAATGATTTAGAAATTATATACTATTACGGTGTATAATTTTTCAATAGCAAATCTTTTACTACAAGGAGTAAATATCATAGTAAAACATATGTATAAGCTTACGATGTGTCGATCTGGAAATATCCTAAGATGATTTATAGGTAGAAAAAATGAAATTTTATCGTAATCGACAGTAAATTTTTACTCAATAGTTTATATGTACAAAATACACACACACACGCTCAAGATAATAAATCATTTAAAGATTTCGTATTCTTTAAATTGATCGGTTCTTGACTAAAACAGGCTTCTTATGTAGTTGCTATGATACGAATTAGTATATATATACATTTCTCTTATATGTTGGTATATGTACATATTATACACATGCACTTTTATTTTAAAGACTCATATGTCATGATTCAACGTGGAAATTAATTTCCACAAGATATCGCATAGACAAACACACTTTCTCATCTAAAATCTTATTATTTGTGTTAAGGTTACGTGCAAATTCACACATAAACTCTTTAGGTCAAATACTTGGGGATCTTCAATAATAATATGAAGTCACGTGTCATCATAAAATACGGCTTTATTCATTTTCTACAATACAACTCTCCAATAACTCTTTAATAATTCTAATCATTATAATTCATAACTAATGCGTTAAATGATAACTATCTCATAATAATAATAAATGACGAAATGCCCTTGCTATCTTTTTTGTTTCCTTTAATTATGGTTGGACAATTCCTTAGAAGTAATTCTTCTTTTTATCTGTATTTAACTTGGAATTTGCCCTTGCTAGCGATTTTCTTGTTACTTATACCTATCCCAGATCGCTTAGGACCTAATGGAAGGGGTAATGGTGGGTTCTCTTTAAAATGGACAAATCTCGCTAGAATAAGGAAACTATTCTGTACTATTTGTTTGTCTTTTACCTGATCGGGTTGGTTGTCAGTACAGTTGTTCGATTGGCGACGTACCTTTTTCCCCTTTATCGCTGATACACATATACGTTATATCGTAAACACATAACTTATTGTAAACGCACTAGATGCTATAATTCTGTACAATAAGGAGAATAAAAAACGGTCGATCCTCGAGGTTCACAAATATTGTTTTATTGTTGTTAAATTATTGTAGTTGTGTATTTGAGAATTCGATTGCTTTTTGATCGAAGAATCATAAGGTTTCTAGTTCGAAAATTGTTGTGTTTCTTGATCGAAGTCTGTTGTACGATGAATGAACTTCTGGGTCGAAGGTTTATGTGCGAATGGTAGACTGATTGTTACTACTTGAATGATCTGCCGTGTAAACGCAGAATCGACAAGGAATAAAGAAAGGAAAAGACAGGAATTTCCTCTAAACTATTTTTTGGAAGAGAAAGAAATGTTTTCCTATTGATCGCGGGTGTGTCTTGTTTTCCTGTATAGAGTGTTTAAATAAATGAACGTGTTGCCCTTCGCACGAGATAACCATTCTACAATATAAGTAAAGGATATCTAAAATCAACAGAAAACAACCCTTGTCGGGTTTCGTTTAGGAGATTATTTCTGGTTCATTACCTGTTTGGCAAATTTCCGAATATTATCTGCTCAGTTGTTAATTGAAATAGTATTAAAAATTTTTTAATTATTTTATAGCCTCTTCTAAGCAAATTTTCATCAAATCCTTGAAATAAAGTATTTGGTATTTACATGACGGATTAAAATATATTCCCAAAGAAAGGGACGAAGAACTTGTGCTTCAACAATAATTGATATTTTACGATTAGTTTATAGTTGGAATTATATTTAACAAAAAATATTTACACGATCTAATTTTGAATCTTAATAAATGTTGCAATGTATGTTATTATCTAAGGAAAAATAGGGCAAAAAAATAATGAAAGATGAACTATGAGAAGTAACAAATCGTAGAAAGAAAAAAACAGGAGAGATAAGCAGAAGAAGAAGAAGAAGAAGAATAAGAATAAGAAGAAGAAGAAGAAGACGCGCTAGCGTCATTTCCGAACGAGGGCAAAGCTTTCTAGTGGCTTTGAGCTTCTGACAAACGGTCCCCCGTAACTGGATTCGTTTTATAAAGTTCCGACGAAACGTGGAGCCTCCTGCTATTAATTGGGGATGGTAACTGACGAGAGTAAGAGAGAGAGAGAGAGAGAGAGAGAGAGAAAGAAAGAGAGAAGGAGAGAGTAACACCGACGACGAAGAAGATGGGAGAGAACAGACTGGAGGTCGACGAGGGTGATTAATTTGATTCAATTACAAACTGAAGCAGATCCGGGGCATCGATTTTATTGCTATCAGCCCCTTTATCTGATTTTCTCACCCCGTGAGCTCAACGTAAAACAGAGAGACAGAGAGAGAGAGAAAGAGAAAAAGAGAAAAAAGGAGTGAGGAAGAGAGAGAGAGAGAGAGAGAGATAGAGAGAGTAAGAAAAAAAGAGACGATGAGATTTCACATAGCTTGAATAACTTTTATATTTCCACTTGGATTCTTTCTCTTGACTTTGGTCTATTTTATTTTATTTTCTTTTTTCACGGCTCTCCTTTTTTCTTTTTATTACACTAGTATAATAGTTCGAATTAGCTTCCAAAAGGTGTAATCGAGTTCGGTCAAATTTTTCGAAAGGTTTCGTTCGAAGCGAACGTCGTTTAATGCGAAATCATTGCTATCAAGGGAATTTCCCGATCGGATCGATTTTAATATCGTTCTCACTTTAACGAAGAACGTTACTCGCCACTCACTACGCTAATATTTTCGTGACATGCTGCGCCGAATATTTTTATTTATTATTTTTTCCTCTCTCTCGCTCTCTCTCTCTCTTTTTTCACTTTTACAACGTTAATCATAATCGAGTTCGACGGTCGTACGTTGTTTACATCCTAGCGTTAATTATGATATTTGCATATAGATAGAAATATGATGGTTTCACGATGAATTTATCAAGTTCCTTTTTTTTTTGTTTTTTTTTTTTTTTTTCATTTTCCCAGTTCTTTATTTCTTTTCAGAGGAAAATAAATTTTTAAGTAAATAAATAATAATAATAAAAATAACAACAACAAAATAATAATAATAACAATAACAAAAACAATAATAATAATAATAATAATAATAATAATAGGGATTTGACCTATCGGATAATTTCATGGATTACAGCAATGCAAATCGAATACTTCAGCTTGATAATAAAGTAATTAAAAACGAAAACGCTTGATTATTTTCCGCGTTAAGCAGCTTTTGCAGTTGCATTGGAGAGGCTATGTTGATTCGAGTTAAAAAGACCACTCATGCGTTGAAATCGTATCAGGCTTCGTCGGTGTTTTTATTTTTTCTTCTTCTTTTTTGGCCACCTCTGTTTCCTATTAGTTTGGAGAGAAAATTATCGACGATTAGAAATAAGCAGTCATTGTTTTTTTTTTAGATTTTTGTTGAAAAAACAAATCATATTATATTAAACTTATAGTATAGTTTTCTTTTAAATTAACTATCTATTTTAACGAAGTTGAGAAATATTAAAAAACACTAACATAATTTTATGTTTATTCAATTATGATATAAAAACAAATATATTACAAATCTTGAGTTTAAAAATACACGTGTCCCGTCGATATTTTGTATTATTTTGTAAATTATTTTTCGGTTTCATTTTATTGCATTTCTTCGATACGACATATTACAATAAATATGTATTCTTAAGTTTTTAAAAGTAAATGGAAAATAGAATTAAACAAAAATTTTTTAAATGTATACATTAAAAACATTTAAACACTGAATAAATAAAAAGGAATTTTTAAAAGATTTTTCCAGCTCTCATTTAAATAGATAATTAATTTAGAGACATACTGTGTATACCCATATTATACTAACTATAGTCACACTCTTAGGAAATTTTAATTAAACTAATTGTAAGAGATACAAAATACGTATAAGTATATTAGTGCTTGATTTGAAAGTTTCATGGTGTTATCGATAATTAATTACTCTCTTTCTTGTATATTACTTTTTCATAAGTTTGATTACAGTTTTAATTCCCCTTTCATAAGTATTCTAATTCGAATTTCTGTGTGTGTGTGATTGGATTACGATATTTATAGAGATAATATTCAAGTTTAAAATAGTATCATAATCAAAGATTCGTATTGTCGAAACAGGAAGAAATATACTTATAGGAGTAATGTGCATGGAAGAAAGATAGAGAGTATTCAGTAACGATAAGAGAAAGACGTATGACATTACGCTGGACGTTCGTGTTTCGCGCGCATACATTTGTGTTTCTACGCACGCGGAATATCCGTAGGTGGTATATACGTACGTCCGTTACATAGCTACTTACAGTAGATTCGGTGATACATGGAGGTCGCACCTAAATTTCCCGTGGGAGTCATGCGTCTCTCTGCTCTCTCGGCAACTTTCTCTCTCTCTCTCTCTTTTTCTCTCTTTCTCTTTCTCTCTGATGTTCTCGTGCTTTTCCTAACGGCTTCCTCGCTTCCTCAGGATCTTTCTTCTTCGTTGTTGCTTCTCCTAACATTACTCCTACTTCGTTCTATTTTTTTATATTTTTGTATTTCTTATAAGGATACACACACACAAACACACACACAACACACACAATACACACAGCATACGCAAATAAGTGTGTGTACTGTATGTTATAAGATTTCTTCGAGTATGTTTGTATACAATTAACTCTTAGAATGTATATGTACGTGTACGTGTACG